CTTCTTCTGATCTCTCTCTCTCTGTCTCTTTCGTTTTTTTCTCTGTTCTGTCTCTCTTTGTCTCTCTCTTCTCTCTCTTTCCTTCTCTCTCTCTTCTCTCTCTCTCTCTCCTTCTCTCTCTCTCTCTCTCTCTCTCTCTCTCTTCTCTCTTCCTCTCTCTCTCCTCCTCTCTCTCTCTCGTTCGTTAAAATTAATATGCCAAAATTCAATTCTCTCAGGTGTTGTGGTTAGATTTTTTCCTTTTTTTAAATCTGGCTCTTTCTCACTTATCCTCTCTCTTCACTCTCTTTTATCTCTCCCTCTTCTCCAGCTCTCTCTTTGGTTGGATATTGGTCTTCTCTGCTACTCTTCTCACCCTCCCCCCCCCCCTCACTGTCTCTTCTTCTCTCCTCTCTCCATCTCTCTCTTCTCTCTCTGCTGCCGGTCTCTGGCTCTCCTCTCTCTCTCGTGCTTGTTGCGGCTCTCTCTGCTCGTCTCCTCTCTCTCGTCTCTCTATCTCTATCTCGTCTCTCTCTCTCTCTCTCTCTCTATCTCGTCTCTCTCTCTCTCTTCTCGCTCTCTCTCTCTCTCTTCTCTCTCTCTCTCTCTCTCTCTCTCTCTCTCTCTCTCTCTCTCTCTCTCTCTCCTCTCTCTCTCTCTTCGCTCTCTCTCTCTCCTCTCTCTCTTCTCTCCTCTCTCTCTCTCTCTCTTCTCTCTCTCTCTCTCTCTCTCTCTCTCTCTCTCTCTCTCTCTCTCTCTCTCTTCTCTCTCTCTCTCTCTCTTCTTCTCCTCTCTCTCTCTCTCTCTCTCCCTCTCCCTCTCTCTCTCTCCTCTCTCCCTCTCCCTGTCTCCCTCTCTCTCCTCTCTCTCTCTCTCTCTCTCTCTCTCTCTCTCTCTTCTCTCTCTCTCTCTCTCTCTCTCTCTCTCTCTTCTCTCTCTCTCTCTCCCTCTCTCTCTCTCTCCTTCTCCCTCTCCCTCTCCCTCTCTAACCCGCAGCTGACATAGAGTAATTGCCTCCCCTCCCCCCCTCCCCCCCCTTTTGATTCACAAGGATATTCAAATGAACCTTTTTTGGAACTGCCGCTTTTATGGGAACTCACACACACACACATACAAACGCGGGCGCACACACACACACACACGTACACACAGATACACATAGATGTACATAGATACATACAGGCACACACACACATACAGACAGATACATACACACATACATACATATACATACAAAACATACACACACATACACACGGATATACACAGATTACATACAACACATACAGATACACACAAACACAACACACACACACACACACACACACCACACACCACACACACACACACACACACACACACACACACACACCACACCACACACACACACACACAGCCACACACACACACACACACACACACACACACACACACACACACACACACACACACACACACACACACGTTCTCTCAACCCTTATACCCGTAGTAGTTCAGGGCTGGTAGGAGGGGGAGGGGGAGGGGGAGGGGGGAGAGAAGGACCGGATGGAGAGAAAGAGAGGAAAAGGAGAAATAGAGAGAAATGGGAGAATGAAAGGAGGAAGGAGAGAGAAGTGGAAGCAGAGAAAAGATAGAAGGAGAGAAAGGTAAGAAGAATGGGAGAGGAGGAACGAGAGAGAAGAACCAGAATGGGAAGAAAAAGAGGGAAAGAAAAATGCGGAAGTAGAAAGAGGGAGCAGGGGAGACGGAGAGAGGAAGGGAAAATGAAAGCGAAAGGGAGAGGGAAAAGGAAAGGGAAAGGGAGATTGAGAGGCATAGGGAGAAGAAAAACAAATAAAAAAAGAAAAGAAGTAAAGACGTGGAAGAAGAGAAAGTAGCAATAAAATGAAAAGAAACCATTGATTGAAACTGAGAGAGAGAGAGAGAGATTGAGAAAGAAGAAGAGAGAGAGAAATGAGAAAGAGAAAAGAGAGAGAGAGAGAGAGAGAGAGAGAGAGACGAGAGAGAGAGAGAGATCGAGCGAGAGAGAGAGAGAGAGAGAGAGAGAAGGAGAGAGAGAGAGAGAGAGAGAGAAAGAGAAAGAGGAAAGAGAAGAGAAAAGAGAGAGAGAGAGAGAAAAGAAGAATAAAGACGAACGAATGGAAGATGAGGACAGAGAACGGGTCAATGTTATCATCGGACGGAAGGGTTAGAAGGGTAGGAGGGGAGGGGGGGAGGGGGGAAGGAGGGGGAAGGGTGGATGAGTGTAAATCGAGGAACTGAAAAAAAAAAAAAAAAATTTGAAGAGATTAATGACTGGGGAACTACCGCTGCTGCCCCTGAGTTGCCATATCTCACCTGAGGGGCAGGAGGAGGCGGAGGGAAGGGGAAGGGGAAGGGAAGGGGGGAAGGAGGGGAAGGGGGGGAAGGGGGAGGAGGATAGGGAAGGGAGGGGGAGGGGAAATAAGGAGAGGGGTATAGGGAAGGGGAGGGGGAAGGGTAAAGGGGAGGAGTATAAGGAAGGGAGGAGAGAGAGAGAGAGAGAGAAAGAGAAAGAAAGAGAGACAGAGAGAGAGAAAGAAAGAAAAGAGAGAGATAGAGAGAGAAAGAGAAGAGATAGAGAAAGAGAGAGAGAAGAACATAGACGCAGTGAGAGATGCAGGGGCAAGGACAGAGAAAGGGAAAGGGTGTGGAAGGGGTTAAGGCAGGGGAGGGGCAGGGGAAGCGGTTCGTTGCGGCGGTCGCCAGGGAATGAGGGGACTGCAGGCGGTTTTAAAAAAAAAAATCCATTTTTTTTAAACTATTTCCCTGATACTTTTTTTTCTTTCTTTCTCTTACTCCATTTTTTTAACTATTTCCCTGATACTTTTTTCTTTCTTTCTCTTACCTCCAATTTTTTAAAACTATTTTCCGGATTTTTCTTTCTTTTTTTCTTTCTCTTACCTTTCCGACTTTTTTTTCTTTCTTTCTCTTACCTCCATTTTTTAAAAAACTATTTTCCGGATTTTTTTTCTTTCTCTCTTTCTTTCTTTCTTTCTCTTACCTTTCCAACCTTCGTTTTTTCTAATATTCGTCTGGTCACATTTCCTGATTTTTGGAGAATGTATAAAGTAGATATTTTTTTTCGATTTTACAAGTAATTAAGAAGAAATAATGAGATTTTTTATATCATTATTTTTATTATTGTTGTTGTTGTCTATATTATTATTTTATTATTATTATTATTATTATTATTATTATCATTATCATTATTTTATTATTATTGTTGTTGTTGTTACTATTAATGTCATTATTATGATTAATGATGTTATTGTTGTTATTCTTTTGTTATCATCGTTGTTGTTGTTATTGTAATCATTAATATTACTTTTATTATTGGCATTATAATATTATTACTATCATCGTCATCATCATTATCATTACTTTTATTATTGACATTATAATTACCATCATCATTATTGTAATTACAAATTTTACTTGGTAATATCACTCGTTGTCATGATCATTATAATTATCATTATCTTTATCAATATTATCAATTTTATCATTATCAGTATTATTTATATTGTCAGTTATTATCAACAGTCGTAGTAGTATTGTTGCTGTTGTTCTTGTTACTGTTATTGTTATACTTTTTATTATAATATTTATTATTATTATTATTATTATTATTATTATTATTATTATTATTGATATTGCTGTAGTTGTTATTATTGTTATATTATTTTATTTTATTATTATTTTTATTATATTATTATTATTATCATTATTATCATTATCATTATCATTATAGTTATTGATATTATTGTTGATATTATATTATTATTATTATAGTAGTAGTATTATTATTATTTTATTATCATTATTAATATTATTGTTGTTTAGTTTATTAGCATTATTATCATTATTAGTAGTATTACAGTCATTATTATTATCATTATTATTTTGATAACTATTTTTTCTCTATGATTTCAAATCTTGATATTTATTATCATAATCAAACCGCAGGATAAAAATAGAAATTTGGTAAAATTCAATATAAAAAATAATCGTCACCGGAATATGAAATGAAAAAAAAAACGCCAAATAAAATTTCAAAATCTGAAAACTAAGTCAAAAAAAAAAAAAAAAAAACGTCAACCGGTAACCTCTTGTAATTCGTTGCTAAGAATTCCGAATTTTTTATCTTTTTCCTTTTTTTTTTTATTACTTCGTCTTTTATGGCAGAATTTAAAATCCCGGAAAGTCGGGTATTTAAACACATTTTTTTTTTCTTCTTTTTCCCTCTCTTGTTCTCATTCCTTCCAACGTAACCTATGGGAATTTTTTTTTTTTACCTTTTCAGCGCAAAAAGAGATTTAAAAAGAAAAAAAAGGAAAAGTAAAAAAAAAAATCGGAGAAACGGTAAACGGGGGATAAGCAAAATTTCCCCCAATGAAAAGGGGCGTTTGGGATCCCCCCCCGCCCCCCTCTCCCCCCCCTGAGGGCTTTCCACCAATCAGGATTCGAGAATGGGAGCGAAGGGGTGGGCCTTAGGGTTGCCGAAAAGGGGGGGGGGGGAGGCAGGGGGGTAGCAGGAGGGGGGGAGTAGACGCGGGGGGTAGTGGGGGGAGTAGACGCGGGGGGTAGAGGGGGTGGGGAGAGGAAAGGAGGGGGGGAAGGGGTTAAGCAGGAGGGCCGGTGGGAGGGGCCTAAATCTTGGCCGAAAGGGTCAGCGAATTAAAAAAAATTAAAACGAAAATTTTTAAAAAAAATCTTTCGATTAGAACGACCTTTACTGAAGATACGGGAGGGGGTAGGGGAGGGGGAGAGGGAGGGGGGGATGGATCATAATAAGGGGAGGGGTTAGGAAAATAGGGGGGGAAAAGGGAGGGACCTTCTAGGGGGAGGGAGGGAGGGGAAAGGGTAGGGAGTGGGCTAGGGATAGTGACTTGACACTTTGTGGAAACTCATAACGCCTAGCTAGTTGCCGGGGTACCCTCCCTCCCTCCCCCCTCCCTCCCTCCCTCCTCTCCCTCCCTCCCTCCCTGGCCCGGCGGGGACCCTAACCCAGCGCGGTCATTTGCGGGCCTGAGCTGGTCCGTGCCGCAACCGCTGCCGCCGCTCCCTCCTGCCTCCGTGGCGGTCTCGTGGCGGTCTGGACGGAGGGCGCTCGAGTGTGCGCGCAAAGGACAAACTTTTATTTTTTTTTTTTTTTTGGAACTTGTGTACGTCGAAGGAATATAGAAGAAGAAGAAGAAGGGAAAAAAAAATTGTGTGTGAGTGTGCGTGCATAGGACACACTAAATTTTTTTCATTTTTGAACGTGTGTGCGTAGAAGGAACACAGAGAGAAGAAGAAAAAAATACATATCCTGGAAGTCGACGAATAGGATTTTTATTTTAAACATCGACGTTTAAAATTCTCGTGTCTTCGAATTCTCCATTCGTGGCGAATTTATTGTTTTCCAAATCGATAATTATTTACAATTTGGTGACCTGGTGACTCTGATATTTATTTAGTAGTGAACGCGACCCGGCGACCTGTGATAGAGAATCTAGTGATGAACAGAACTCGGAAGTCGACAAAACAAAACGTCCCATTTTAATTAACACAATTTTAATATTTTAATAACTCTTTTAATTAACAACACAACGTGATACGCGAGTGCAAATAATTATAGTCAGTAGCGATAAATAACGGTAGTGTTAATGAATTACTAATATTAGTGGACTTCATCGTTGGTGTGAACTGTATACGATATAAAAAAGAAAAAAATAATATTTTCCGCTGAAATATTTATTATTGTGACGAAGATCCACGTCCCACTTTTATACACACCGTAAATCCCCCGAAATAGGAACCAAAACAAAAACCCGAACCACAAGAACGAAGTGCGAGCGAACAGATCATCAGAGAAAAAAAAAAAAACAAAAGACGGTAATTCAAGACAGGAAGAGAGAAGGGAGAAAAAGAAAGAGAATAAAAAAAAAAACAAGTCACAAACACAGCCTGTAATTCAAGTCCGCACAGACTGCTGGTTCATAAACACTGAAAAGTCATTAGTATCGTCCACGAGAAGTTGTGAATGTTGTGCTTAGCGAACCCGCGTGGATGACGGAAATGAGAAAAGTAAATAAATAAAGGGTTGATTTAAATAGATAAAGGGTTAATTGATAATGAGGATAAGCCTGGACGGTCTGAGAGTGGCGGTGTGAGACTGTTTACGAATTCCGAGAGACGAAATAAGAAAGAGGTGAATGATAAGAAAGGTGATAAGAAATTTGATATATGTGAACTCTACCTTGGCGAAGTATCAGAGGAAGAAACAAAAAAAAAAGAATATTAATAACAGAACAACGAGGACATTTTGAGAGAGAGAAAAGAAAAATCACAATCAGAGAAACAAGAATTAAAAGATACTTAGAAATTTAACGAAGAAAAAAATGAAAGATTTTTAGATACTTAGAAATTTAACAAAGAAAAAAAAACAAAGATTATTCAGAAATTTAGAAGTTTGACGAAGGAAAATAGGGAAGATATTTTAAAGAAATAACCCATTTTTCATCGAGAGATTCGCCCACTGTAAAAGCCCAGCCATGGAGGACCAGGAAACGGAGGAGTCTACCATGTCGCCGCTGATGCAGGTTTACCTCAAGATAAAATTAGGTAAGAGAAAAGGGGGAAAGGGAAGGGAGGGAATGAGTGAAAGGGGAAAGGGGAGGAAGGGGATGAGAGAGGGAGAAAATTAATAAAAAGGGGATGAGAGAGGAAGGGGATGAGTGAAAAGGCGATAAGAGAGAGAGGGAATGAGTGAAAGGGGTAAGGGAAAGAAGGGAATGAGTGAAAGGTGATAAGAGAGGGAGAAAATGAGTAAAAAGGGAAAAGGGGGAGAAGGGAATGAGAGAGGAGGGGATAAGAGAGAGAAAGGTAAAGGGGTTGAAAGGTTGAGGGAAGATGGAAAGAGAGGAAGGAAAGGGAAGAGGAGAGAGGAAGGGGAGAGGGAAGAAAGGGGTGAAGCGAAGAGGAGAGTAAAGGGGAAAGAGAAGAAGGGAAGAGAGAGAGAGGGGGATAGAGAAGAAAGAGAGAGGTGGGGGGGGGAAGCGAAGTACAAATAGCCACATGTATTACTATTCATCTATGTTATATTATATATTTATACTGTATTAATATTCACAAATAGCCGTGTGTGTGTAACGACCTCCCCCCCTCCCTCCCCCTCCTCTCTTTCATGCCCAGATCCTGATTGGCCATTTGCTCGGAAGGGGAAGAAGGGAGAGAGAGAGAGAGAGAGAGAGAGAGAGAGAGAGAGAGAGAGAGAGAGAGAGAGAGAGAGAGAGAGAGAGAGAGAGAGAGAGAGAGAGAGAGGGAGAGGAAAGAGGGAGAGCGAGAGAGAGAGAGAAAGGAGAGAGGGAGAGAGAGGGAGCGAAAAGAAAGCAGAGAGAGAGAGAAAGAGAGAGAAGAGAGAGAAAAAGAGAGAGAGAGAGAGAGAGAGAGAGAGAGAGAGAAAGAGAGAGGAGAGCGAGAGAAGAAGAGAGAGAGAGAGAAGAGAGAGAGAGAGAGAGAGAGAAAAGAGAGAGGAGCGAGAAAAGAGAGAGAGAGAGAAATAGAGAGAGAGAGAGGGAGACGAGCGAGCTAGGATGTCTCGGGTTTTAAACTACACGGGGCGTCTTTCATCAAATCTCGCGGGCGGCTTAAAATTCAGTCCCGCCTCGTATCGCGTTTCTCGCTCATTGGAGGAAGGGTTAAGGGAAGGGTTTGAGGGCACTTCCATTCCGTTTCATACCCCTCTTCGTTTCGCTTTTTTTTTTTTTTTTTTTCTTTTTGGGGGGTGGGTACCCGGGGGTGGGGGTGGAGGTTTTTTGAGGGGGGTGGGGGATGGGGGTGGAGGAGGAGGAACTGTGGGGGGGGATGGGGGAATGGGGGTGGGGGGGTAGGGGGGGTGGAGGAGGAGGAACTGTTTGGAATAAAAGAGAATTATTTGAGGGGGGGGTAGGGGGGTGGGGGTGGAGGAGGAGGAGAACTGTTTGGAATAAAGAGAATTATTTATAATTTTTTTTTTTTAGTTTTATTGGAAAGGTTTTTTTTGTGTGTGTTTTCTTCTCTACGATCTTTCGAAAATCTGAAATGTGTAAATGGTAAATGAGAGGAAGGATTTTTGATGATTGGAGAAGGAGAAGAGGAGAGGAGAAGGGAGGAGAATAAGAAATAAGAAATGAAAAAAAGAGAATTACATAAAAGGATAAACGGTAAAGTGAGGGGAAGGATTTTTGATGATTGGGAGAAAGAGGAGAGGAGAAGGAGAGGAGAATAAGAAAGAAATGAAAAAAGAGAATTACATAAAAGGATAGAATTTCCATCATGTTCATCAATAGATAAATCCACAGAAAAAGATATTTCTTTACAATAGGGGAAGGAGGGGGGGGGACGGGGGAGTGGGGAGTAGAGAGAGGTGGGGAGTGCGGGGAGGGAAGGGAGTAGTGGGGAGGGAAGTGGGAGTATTGGGGAGTAGAGAGGAAGGTGGGAGGGAGTAGGGAGGAAGGGGAGGAGTAGGTGGGGAGTAGGGAGAGAGAGAGGTGTGGGAAGGGAGAGGGGGGAGGAGTGGGGAGTAGAGAGGAAGGTGGGAGTCAGTAGGGAGGGAGGGAGGGGGAGAGGAGAGGGAGGGAGGGGGGAGTATGGAGGGAGTAGCGACATCCTGATAGAGTCGAGTAGCAGAAATGCGCTCTCCACATCAATAAAACGATTTTGACATTATCGCAGCGTATCTTAATGCCGCTTTGACAGAAAGGGTTAAGAACTGGAGTAGCCTTTTGGGGGCGCACAAAAAAGTCCTCCTCTCTCTCGCTAGGATTACGGATGGAACGAGCGCGGGGGACGACGAGCGGGGGCTTCCTAGGCGCTTCCTAAGTCTATTCTTTATTCTTTATTATTATTCTTTATTCTGTAAGTCTATTCTCTAAGTCTATTCTTTTATCTTCTTTTTTTTCTTTCGTTTACGTCGTCTGCCATCTTTTATTTCATTCTTTTATCATTTACGTTATCTCCCATCTTTTATTTCATTTTTATTCATTTTTCCTATCATCAACACCCATCTTTTATTTCGTTTATTTCATGTACGTCATTTATTTCATGTACGTCATCTCCCATCTTTTATTTCATACGTGTACGTCATCTTTTTTTTTCATTTTTATTATTTTCCATTTACGTCACCTCCCGTCTAAGGCGATCGGTGACGGCATAACGCTACGCGCCTCTGCTAACGACATGCCTGCCACGTCTATGGTCGTAAGTGTTTTTCGTTGCTGGAATAACGAAGTGCAGACAGCCCCCTCCCCTCCCCCGTCCCTTGTCCCCTCCCCCGCCCCATCCCCTTCCCTCCGCCCCGCCCTCCCCGGCCCCCTCTCCCCCTCCCCTTCCTTCCGCCAAAGCGTAACTCCGCGGCCGCCGCCAGAGGTCAGCACTGTCCTTGGCATGAATTCGCGCCCCGTTTTGCTCCGATGATATCGAGACCACTTCAATTCGGCGCTCGGCGTCGGAGGCCGGCGAGTGGGGAGGGAGATGCTATCGCGAGGGAGATCGGCGAATACCTGGAAGGGAGAGAGGGAGGGAGGGCGAGAGAAAACCCTTTAAACACGCCTCCATCGCGGGCGGCGGCGGCGGCCACGGGGAGGCAGGCTGGCCGGCCGCGGTCGCCGAAGCCCTCCGCCGAGGGGATACGGCGCTAAACCCTTCAGTCTAGAGAGTATTGTTCCGGTCGGCGGCGGTGTGGGAACCGCGAAGCCCTTGCGAATGTAACCAGTGGGATTTTTTTTTTTTCATTTGGTCTACGTTTATTTAGTTTCCTTTTATTCTATTTTGTCTTGTTTTATTGTATAACACGTATTTTTTGGGTGGGTTCGTATCCCTCCAATCTAAAATATTTCACCGTCGTCGTGGATGGGAATCGGATATTTTTTTTCGAAAAGGATGCAAATAGATAGATAGATATATTATAGCTAGATAGACAAATAGATAGTTAAATAGACCTGGATAGACAGCAATTATTTGAGAAAGAGGGAATGTA